GTGTGTGTGTGTGTGTGTGTGTGTGTGTGTACCCTTGTTTCCGCTACTTGGTGGAGGAGAACCAATCTGCACCTGCCTTTCAAATGTGCTAAATATAGATACTGAAACAGCAGAGCAACAAGTTTCAAGGTTTGATAAATCACACTGCAGTAGGGCTGCAGGATATCAGGAAAACCTGCAATGTGTGATAACAGTGCGTAATATCTGTGATGACGATATGACTTGTGATGAATTAACAAATACTTTACATAAGTATGTATTGTTGATGTATGGGTTCTAATTAAAAACAAAAAAACAACAAGAACAAAAACAACCTAAATATTTTCATTCCAGTATGATTTTTTTTTAAATATGAAGAGTAATACACAAAGGGTTTCATTTGATTGGTGAAATACTTCAAACTTCTATCTGAGACAAAACTCATAATTTTGAGCCAACCATTTATTGCAGCTTATACATATTTTTTTATTATGCTGTATTGATCCCCTGGTGGAGAAATTAAGTCTGCATTTTACCCGTTGCACATGTGAATGCACATATGGAGCAGTGGGCTGCCGATTGCGGCGCCAGTGGGGGGGGGGTTGCTCTGGGGCCCAGGTGGGGCTGGTTGGTTCGGGGAGTCGAACCTGTGACCTTACGATCACAGACACGGCTTCTCTACCCTCTGCACCACCACTTCCCCTTATTGCACAGGTTATTATTGCAATAATGATAAAATTTTCTATGTACTATGCAGCCATACACTACAGGTGCAAAATGTTTATATCTGCATATCCTCTGCCCAGTATTGCGTGATCTGCTAATCGTCACATAATCTGCATATTCATGGAGACAGACACGCTGAATGGGTTGTGGCTGCTGTTTTGCTCATCTAACAGACATAGTCCTTGCTCCACACCATTAATAAATCAGCTTTGTGTGCAAAGGTTTGAACATGGATTTATACATAAAAATAAAAAAAATAAATAAATCAGGGCCTTTGTATGTAACACAACATGCCTTTATATGCAAACAGGCTGTAACAACCAACCCCATCAGGGAGTTTTTGCTAGCAGTTGTGTTAGCAAACACATGTCTGCCTTGCCAAAAAAATCGCCTCCAAAAAAGGTCACACACTAATATTTTGTTGGAATGCCTTTAGCTTGGATTATGGAACACATTTGTTGTGACATTGTTTGGATAAGCTTCTGCAATGTTTGTTTATTGTTTCTGTTTTGTTTGTTGTTGTTGTTTTTAATGTTTAATGTGAAAGATTTACCAAAACTAAAGTGATTGATTGATTGATTGATTGATTGATTGATTGATTGATTGATTGATTGATTGATTGATTGATTGATTGATTGATTGATTGAATGTCACAAAATGTATTTCCATCCAGTGTTGCATTAAGTTTTCACCCAGATCTTTAATGATGGTAGAGTTTGACCTTCTCCAACACATCCCAAATATTCTCAATGGACTCTGTGAAGCCAATCCATGTGTGAAAATGAGAATTATGAAAATTATGATGAATGAAAATGACGTCTCATGCTCCCTGAACTACTCTTAAAAAGGGCTTTAATTGTCATCTTGGAATATGGCCATTCCATCAGGGAAGAAACAATCCGTTGATGGAGTAACCTCAGTATATTCAGGTAGTCAGCTGACCTCATTCTTTGAGCACAGACTGTTGCTGAACCTAGACCTGACCACTTGCAGAGACCCACATCATACACCTGAGTTCAATCCAGGTGGATTTTTTTTGGCCGGGCAGTGTAAATTAGCAAAGAAAAAATACTAACTATAGCCCCTGCCTCTGTACTTTCAAATGCTAATAAGTGTTTAATTCTAAATCCATTGTTTAAAGGCAATTAAAAATGAACACAAAAATAATCAGAAATTACATGAGGCATTCTGTGTTTTTCTGTTGTCACCTGTTTATCGTTACCTGGTTCCTGATTGGCTGGCAGTATCAATTAGCTGCAGCAGATCTGGAACATCCGCTCTCTGGGTTCTTAACCCTCTGAGGTTGCCGCCCGCTGTGGAGGGTGCAAAGACATGATGCATTTAAAGGGCTACTGTAAAAAAAAGTGGCAGCATTCAGAGTGTTCATTTGAACTGGGTCGGACAGCATGGACTTCAAGCTTTATAAAAGTAATGTTTTTATATAGTTTTATTTTTTATTTACGTCTAAATAAAACCAGATTTAATGTTGAATAATTTTTGCCATTATGTGTGCATTTTTACGCATTTGGTGTGCATTTAAAGAACGTTTTGTGACCATGAACTGCTTGAATGCACCATGAACCCTATTTTTCCCATTTCCTCAAACACACCACATTTCCGAAACAACCAATGAAAACAGTTTGTCTGTAGGCTTGTGGAGAGAGACTAGGTTCTGGGCCGGTCACAAAGAGACGGGCTGAGGACGGATTGATTTCCGTATTTTGGATTTAGCTAGTAGCGGATTAGTTTTTAGACCAGACGTGTGTTAGTGTATGTGAGTGTGTGTGCAGTGTTTGTAGTACTGTTGTTAGTTTCAAAATGAGTCATCATTTGACTGTGGAGGAAGGTCTGAAGTTCTGCGCTTCAGCTTGATGAAGAAAACAAGGAAGAGGAGTAAGACGACGCGCCGGTGGACTTCAGACTCGAAGGTTGTTTGTTTGTTTGTTTGTTTGGCATGGAATATGTAAAAGATAACAGAGGCAAACTGCACCACATTGTTCAAGCTGATTTCACCTCCAGGGGAAGATGAAGAGGAGGAGAAGGAGGAGTTGCCCACACACTCAGGCCCACAGCACTAAACTGCTAAAATAATGTAGCTAGTTTGTGACATGTTTGGAATCACACACACAAACATTTTTGTAACAGTGCCTTCTAGGGATTAGGCAACTGTGACAACCTACTTCTAAGAGATTCAGTCTCTCTAAAATTCTCTATTCATATAATTGACCTGCTGCCAGTTAGAACAAATAAGCATTTTACAACTTATTAAGCTAACAGCCATTTGTTTTTCCTCTCCCAATGTTTTTGAGATGTGTTGATGCCATCAAATTCAAAATTACTTTAAAAAAACAAATTTATTTGTTAAAAAAAACAAATTTATTTGTTTAATTATTTTGTGACATAAGCAACGTAATAGTCAGACCAGGAGTGTAAATGAGCACACAAGACAACAAGCAGTACACAATTAAGTATTTTTATTTACAGGTGAGGGGAAAAAAGGGGTTTTGTTCATCTGGCCTGAAAGAGGAGGGAAGAATCCAGGTGAGTCCAGAGTGATAATTGTTTGTCTTGAATTGTTCAATGATTGTCTTTTGTTTGTTTGTATCTTACAGTTTCCAGGAAGTGGCGAAGCTCCAGGAAGTGTAGAATCCAAAGGTGAGCTAATTTTCTTCATGCAGAGTGGCAAGGCAAAAAACTTAATTCGGCAAAACCGCTGTTGCAGATCCGTAGTGGCAAAAAATCCAAAGAGCTGTCCTTGGGCACAAAATGTCTTGACATGGGAACCTTTAAGAGAGGAGGTAGGTACAGGTAAGTGTATATATATATATATGGTAAATGGTAAATGGTACTGAACTTATAGAGCACTTTTCAAGTCCCTCCGGACCCCAAAGCGCTTTACACTAACAGACATTCACCCATTCACACTCACATTCACACACTGATGATGGCAAACTACACTGTAGCCACAGCTGCCCTGGGGCACACTGACAGAGGTGGGGCGGCCATACATCGGCGCCACTGGACCCTCTGACCACCATCAGTAGGCAAGGTGGGTCATGTCACGTTCCGTTAGGT